TCCATCTTCAGTATCTGAAGCAGAATAAAATGAATTTACATCAGTCTCTATACACTGTCAAAGTACAGTTGCTAAATATAATGATAATTAAACAAATATTATAGATCATACACAGCCATACTGATGTTATGTAGTTTTGCTATTAAGTAGGTAGCTTGCTCTGACCATAAGTAAATATCAAAATTTCCGACCACTTAAATGGCTTTCCCGACAATAAAGTGAATTTATAAAATTAGAATTTGAAGCACTTAAATATTCCATAATTCTAGTAGCAGACGTCAGCCACTCTCGCAAGGAAAAAAAAAACTTGTATTCAATACAAGTTCAAAAATAAGATTTAATTTCTTAAGAGGATTTTTACACCTTTACTTTAACAAATAAGCTACTGGACTTTTTCTCCCTTTACAATATCACACTAAATTATTTCTTTCTGTAAGCATCAGATTCTTAGTACGTTTACTTAACAAATTTAGGCTTATCTTTCTGCCACGCGTTCCTTACGCTCAAGCGTTTGAATTCCCACACCTTGAATAAAATCACTACCCATCTTAACACAGTGTTCAATTTAACCTTTAAAGGTAATATAAATGCAAAATATATATGTTCTTTAATTCAATAATCGATCTAGTTTTATTTTTTAAGAGAATCATTAAAGGAGTATTAAAAATAGCTTTTATGTCACAATAATAAACTAGCTGTATTAATACAAGTATGTAAACACTAAAACAGTAACATTATAATAATGATTAACAAAGTATTTCACTTCTAAATTAATATTATTTGAAATTTGATAGAAATGGATGAATTGTACTCAATTCAATCTAAAATAAACTTAAAATAATTTATTCTGATGCATTTATTACTCACCATTTTAACCCCAACTCACGGCACCATAAACATACGGTTAAAGAAAGAACTAAGGATGTTGAGGTTAAATAGATTGGTATGTGTGTTTACGAGAAATAAAATAATCCCCACAATCTTAACAGGCTTAAAGAAAAATAGTACTTTTATCTGAACAAATATTAACAGTTTTACTTTGCAACTCATTTGCGCTTGTTTTCAGATGAAACTAAAGAATCATATTGTATATTTTTATTTTGGTATATTACTTTACTGTAACCTTCCGCCAAGGAATCTGCCACCTGGAGAACCGTGAAAGTGGTTCAATAACTAAAGACGAAAATTCTAACGTTTGAAAAGAGAATTTTGAAACAACAAAGATTATTCTGATATTCAGACACAGTGGTGGAAAATTGTTTGCATCACCCAATTGTTTTCACACTTTTCTTTGTTCCTGTGATTTTTTTTGCGAAATTATTCATCATGGAAGTGTCAGGACTAGTGTAAAACGGTTATAGACATCGAGCGGTGTAAAGTAACACATATTTGAATCATCCAAACACACATAAGCATCTTTATTAAGAAACCAACCGCAACGAATTACAGCAGATGATTAACAAATACTTGGGAAATACGAAAATGTTCTCTGAATAAGAAAACACAGGTTTAAAGATAACGCCATAGTTTAATTGACAAAAAGTGGTTACAGAGTCAGTCTGTTTATTGTTTTAATATTTGGTTGATCGCCTTGATAACTGTTGACATCGTTGCGGCATAGAGTGCACTAGGAACCGAATGTAGGTAGGGGTTAGTTCACAATGCCACACGCGGATTATGGCTTCTTGCGGTTCCAAGGTCTTCTCGGTTTCTTCTTTTGCACTTTGTTACCCATAACCTTTCAACAGTTTTCGATAGGGTTGAGATATGGGCTGTTGCCTGACCAGTGTAGTGTCTTGATTCTCTACCTTCGAAAATAGTCCTTCACCTGAAGCAGTGAAATAAAACATAATATGTCTTTTCAATACACGTAGAGTGAAATTTCCTCTTTATTTCACCCCTACTGCATAGAATGCATGAATATTATCAACTGTTTTAGCCCTGCAGCATGGAGCAAAGTCATCCTGAAATGTGCACTGGTCAGCTACACTGAAGTGATCCGAAATTTTTGGCTTTATCTGGGACTCCAGGATCTCAATATACTTGTTGGCATTGGCAGTGCCTTCACAAAATGCAGGAATAATTTATCCTGGCCAAAGATGCATCTCCATATCACCTGACCTTGCAAATGCTTCGCAGTTGCATTGAAACGGGCTGGAGGAAACTCTTCTCCACTTCAGCATCATACAAAATGCTTCCCATTGGACTCGTGCTGGTTGAACTTTAATTCGTCTGAGAAGATCGGCTTGCTTCACATTGCTTCAGTCCAGTTAGCATGCTCTTTAGCCCAGTTGAGCCTCACCTTCCCCATCTTGTTGGTGAAGAGTGGTTTCTTTTTTGGGCATCTCACTGGGAAACTGGCTGATCACAGGCGAGACCAGATGGTGTGTATGGTGACAGTAACGATTGAAATTTCTGCCATGCTCTTTTGAAATCTGTGGATGACTGTCGGCAGTTCTATGAGCCCTTGTATTTCAGAACACGATCGTCAGCTGTTGTGGAAGTTCTCTTCTTATCCCTTTATTTCTGCTGCTCAACACAGTCAGTCTATCTATATTTCTCCATCCAGCAGCTCACAGTAAATTTAATTTCTATAGCAATCTTCCTTGTCAAAAGTCCCTAAAAAATAAATAAAAGAGACTGCCTTTTTCTATGGATTGAACTCACAACCCTTGGCCATGGTAGCATCTGTTACGTCTCCGTTCGTTAGTTAATTTTCCGTAAATTTCGTTCCGACGAAACTTTAGCGACACAAGTCCTTTCTTAAATAAAACTGGTTTATTCTTTCTGAATACAACTTTGCAATACACTTAATTTCCACAGTTGCGCTATAACAAACGCTATAATTCACAACGAACGTCTCACGTGCTCAACTCAACAATACTCTGTCCGCAGTTCAATTACACATTGTCCTCATCGCTTCTTGGCCGGTCTTATATATACAAAACTACCCCATATCTAGTAGTCTCCCGACGCTCATGAACGTTCTAGAAGCGCGTGGCGTGTTACTAGCGTCAGGTGACCTCCGCTGTCGTAACACATCACACACACATTGTAGCAAATAGGCTTCTAAACTCTATTTATACCCAAAAAAGGGCTGATTCAGTAACCAAACAGCCTATAAAACTGTTGATATAATAATTAAACAGTATTGTATCATTCATGAAACACATTTTCATCTACATACATTAGGGCCTCAAAAAAGACAATGATTCTGAAGAAAAGTGTGAAAAATTGGGTGATGCAATAAAATTTTCCACCACTGTATCATCATACTGATAAAATAGTTTTATACCCATAGGTTGTGATTTCTTTCAAGTTTTTATTATTTTTATTAGAAGGGCTCAATGTACAAGTAATGAAGTTACTTAAATTTTTTATAGTCACCGTGTGGAGGGAATTTGGCAATTTAGTCCTAAGTTATCATATTACATGCCCCCATCAGTGGGGCACAGATGTAAGTCTGAAGGCATATAGCGTTAAAATCCGGGTTTTGATACCTGTGGTGGGCACAGCACAGATAGCGCATTGTGTAGCTTTATGCTAAACTACAAGCAAACAAACCACACAACAGTCTACCTTTCGTTGTTTTTTTCATATTTTCTGAATATTTAGAATATTCAAAAAATGAAAAGTATCGTTTATAGTATATAACGTGAAACACCATTGAAAGTATAATAAGATAAAGATTGTTACTCGCGCGAAAGTAAAATAATTATTATTCGAAATAAAGAAAGACTTGGCGGGTTCGTATAAATTATCTGGTAGAAATAATTCAATGGTCAGTCCACGTGACGAGAACAAATTATTTATTTCCTCCTTTAACATTTTTAGAAGCTTGATCACTGGTAAACTGTCATAACTTGTTTTAGACCTACGTTAAAAATGATGCTCGGGCTTCTTTAACAATACCAAACTAATGAAAAATCAATTTACTTGTACAAAGTAACCCAATAAGCATGATTTCAAATAGAGATTCAAATTGCTTTATGCAATCATCTAATATGTTTTCTACGTGCTTTTAGTAATACAGGAATCTTAAAAATCTTCATTTAGTTAGTTTTTATGCAGTTTTGACATAAACACTTGGTCCAGAAAATTGTTAAAGTTGCACTTATGTATTTTGTTCTCTGTCACAAGTATCCACTCTGCCCGAGGAATGTTGCTGTATATCCTGTTGAACGGGTCAATGACCACAAAGTTTTTAGCTGGTCGAATTAAATAGGTCTGAATGTCATAGTCAAAAGGTGCCACAGAATGATCAGTCACACGGTGACGTCTTTCCAAGACAAAGAATACAAGCCTTCTTTCACAAACACAGCTATTATTCTTTAGTCAGTTCTACTTGATTTTCATCATGACTATTTTGGTAGAGATTCATTTTGAGGAAAAGAAAGCTAATGATCTATTCATTGATTTGTTAGAGGTGACTGTCCACACAAGTACACACACTGTCTTTGCTGTTGTTGTTGTGTCATATCTAAGTAAAGATTGTGTTGACTGTCCATCAAACATGTCCAATCTGTTTATTTCTCACGCAACTCAATATTAAGTTAAAATTTCAGGTTCAACTTATTCTGCAAATTACTTGCTCGATCCTCCTGTTAAGTGAACCCTTTTGATACTTGCACAGAAATCAGTTTATTTGAGAATATCACTTGTGCACGTAAGATAAACAGTCAGGTCAGAGACACCTAGGATTCTAGTATAGCCCTCCCTAATTTTGAACTACTGACCAGAGAGCTGGCAGTTAACCAGATACGCCCACTGCCAAAATGACTTCTTTAAGTATTTTGAATGAATATCACATTTATAACGCATCCAAAGTTGATAGTGTGGAGATTGTCCAGGGCATCCTGTTTCGAGCTTTGATATGCAGCCTGACACAATAGATATCTGGCAGAGCACAGCCAAAGAAAGACAAAACAGAGTAAACCAGTGCCCACTCTACTGCAATATCAGGCTTATTTTATTTGGTAAGAAATATATATATTGCGAGTAATTTCCTAATTAGAGATGAAATGAGCCACTGAGTAGTATGCATGGTTATAAATTTGAGGGCGCATTGCTCTTCTATAATTATAAAATTATGCTATGGACTCTGGAGCCGTGGTTGCATTATAAGGGCGATGGTCAAATCCCACTATTCAATTAAAGTGTCTCAAGCGTTCTAAACTGGGGATGTTCATGAGCAGATAGCCATTGTGTAGCTTTGCATGAAAATATAAAAAATCAAGTAACAGCTTATGTTTATAAAATTAATTTTTTTACCATACATGCATAAATGTTTCAACCACATACAGCATACAATCCTACATTCTTAATCATTTGTCGTTAGAAATCGGTACTATACGCTCTTCATGGCTATACTCGCAATCACTCAGCCTAGATCTATCTATATATTTAACTAACTAACTGGCTATCTATATGACTAACTCGAACTATATGTTGTACGCATATTTATAGCCTGATCGAGGCCTAGAACGTTCACACACTATGATATGTTATGATAAAATAATACTCAATCAAAACAACGAGAAAAAACTTAGAAGGTTTTAATAACATGATGCAATAATACAACAAGCGGCAACTCACAATAATTGATCTACCCAATGTAAGATTCGTATACAGTTACGTAAACAAACCTACGATAAACTATATCTTCTAAAAATAATCAAATTTAACATGTGTGCTATACTTAAACCATCTGAATAATAACAGTCGCATTAACTTAAACAGTCGTATATATCTAACATTAAGCCCCTCCTCAAGAAAAATATTGTAAATATTTTTATTCTAGATACAAAGACCGTGTTCAGTTCGCGCACAAAGAATACTCATACAGTCTGCACCAACATTTGCAAACTCCATTGATGGCTTCAATGTGGAACTGGTAGTTCTGGAGGTAAAATGCCCATCTCATAATATTTGCACTGCTCGGTGTATGCCAGTGGGTAA